GTGAGAGATGTTGCTGGTCCAGTAGCCGAGTGTAGAATGGTCTCCCTACGAGTACGAAGTCTTTAGTTAAGAGGTGAAAGAAGATTATTAGGGGTTGAGGGAAAAGTGGTGAAACTGAAATACAGCAGAAGTAGAAAGAATCTGGGCTCAACCAGATCGCTTCATCTTTCTTATTGGTGTTTTATCTTTGTTCTGCTCCCTTGGGTCGTCAGACCTTTGTATTAATATTGGTTTATTTATATAATGCTGCTTATTATTATTATTTTTATTATTGTTGGAGTTAGTGAGCTCGCCCAGGTCCTTGTGTAACTGGGAGGGTAGTCACATTTTTTTTTTTGAGGTGTTAGTTAAGTGTTAGTTGTATTAGTCTAAAGGTACTGGCCAGGCATGGCCGTATTTATACAATTTACGAGGATCAGGATTTGCGGTGAGCGTAGCGAGAGGACCAATCGCAGCGGCTTAAGCGTAAGGTGTGAAACGCTCTGATCCTGAACCAGAGGTTGAAGGTCGAGACTACTATAGGTCGGCGATCGTACCTCTACGTCCTCTGCATAGACCTAGTCTCGGCGTAGCTGGCTTACCCAACCTCAAAAAAAATCATTAACCTGACTCTGCCCTAGCAATACAGAACAACCACCTCCTCCTCTCCCTCCATCTAAACCTCACGCTCACACTCAAAGACCACTCTCGCGTAAAAAAAAACACTAATCCACTCAACCTGCGCTAACACAACCCCCCAAAAAAAGAAAGAGAAAAAAAAAATTAACAATCCCCCCGAAAGAAAAAACCTAACATACCCAGCCGTTACTAGCAATCCCACCCAAAATAAAAAATAACCATTCTACCATTCACTAACCACATCCTACCACTCCTCCCAAAACAAATACCTAACTTACCCATCCCATACTAACACAGATGACATGAACGTCTCCCTTAGCCAATAAGGTCGGGGAGGGGTGCATAGTACCTGTACACAAACCCTCTCCCTCAAGAATGGAACCAGGAACTCACAATACCTGCAAAAGCCCTCCACGCAAATTGCAGAAGTCCTTTACAAGCCAAAAGGAAAGAAAGAAAGCAATAATAACCCAACTCTGCCAACCACTAATAAAACCTACAATCCTCCCAAAAGAAAAACTTAACCCACCCAATCTTACTCACAATCCCTCCTAAAAAAAAAATATATATATATTAACTCAACTTATCCAACCACTAATCAACTCCTACAATCCTCCCAAAACAAAAACTTAATATACCCGACCTTTCTAACAACCCCCTTCGACCCCCCCTTAAAAAAAAAAATTACATATGACTCAATACAACTATTCATTAGCCACACAAATCATATCACCCCTAAAAAATCCTACCATACTATAAATTAACCTAACAACCTCCAAAGCCCCCCTCTCCTCCCAACAACTCACCATACCTGACCTCACTAACAATTATCCTCCCCTTACCCCTCTCCCCTTACTATATTGAAACACACACACTCACACAACAACCCCCCTTAAGCAATTCTAATTCAGCTCAAATCAACATACCACCGCCACCCTCAACCAATCCCCAATACAAACTCCCCCACAACCAATCTCCCAACACAACCCCCCCGCCAAACAAAGCCTTACATAATACTACAACTCTCCAGAACCAATCAAACATACCCAACCTCTATAACAGCCACTGTCAATGAAAACGACCTAACTCAAGACTGAAACCAATCAACCTATATCTCATTCTCGTCTCCGTTCATAATTTGACAAAAAAGCTCAAATCTGTCTCCTGCTATTACTAAAAACTCTCCTACGATACGCTCATCCTTCCTTACTACGAATACTTTGACATTTCAAGCTCATAGATTCAAAACTCTTCCTCCAACTCGCTCCATTTCTCTTTGACACAGCTCAAATGACCTACAACTCTCAGAACCAAATCAAACATACCCAACCTCTGTGACATCCAATCTCAATAAAATCGACCTAACTCAAGACTGAAACCAATCAATCTATATCTCATTCTCGTCTCCGTTCATAATTTGACAAAAAAGCTCAAATCTGTCTCCTGCTATTACTAAAAACTCTCCTACAATACGCTCATCCTTCCTTACTATGAATACTTTGACATTTCAAGCTCAAAGATTCAAAACCCCTCCTCCAACTCACTCCGTTCCTCTTTGACATAGCTCAAAGACTTTACCTTCATCTTTCTCCAAACAACCCTACGACTAGCTACATTTCCATTTTTTCACCTCTGTTACTTTGATCGTGTGTTGACTGTGCGTCCGTCCACCTGCGCTTCTCGGCTTGCGCCGCCGCCGTGGCGGGGCGGTTCTTCCTCCGCTTTGCCAACACTGCCTAAGCTAAGACGACAACCAGAGCACCCGCGTTGGCCCTTTGCTTGCCCGGTCCTGCTGTAGTGGATTTCTCCCCTACAAACGCTGTTTGTCGATGAGTAGCCGACCCCACCAATTCCCCAGTGTATGCCTCGTGGTCTAGGTCAACTAGCGCCGCCATACATCAAGGAGCGGGGGTCAACTACTAAGCCACGCCTACCCCCCGCTATTTAAGACCTGACCTCGTGGTGACCTGTCTCTTTCTACCTCCACCAACCAGCCAGCAACACCTCCTCCTCCGCCGCTGCCTGGCGGCCCTCGCTCCTCCTCCGCCTGCCTGGCGGTCCTCTCTCCGCTGGCGAGCATGGCGACCCACAAGCTGTCCTTCTCTGAGCGTCCTCACCAACCAGCTCTCTCTACATCACGCTTGTAACCATGCTGCCTTCCCAGCACCAAGCTGCATTGTACATCCAATACAACATGTATATAGAGAGCACATTGTGAGTTTCCTTTCTCCATCCCATCCTGAGTGTGAACCAAACATCCTGAACCCCACACTGCTCCAGCCCTCCCTCTGCCTCGTCCTGACTGTGATTGTTACACCTACCGGGCACGTTGCCTACCCCCTCACGCAAGCGGTGTTTAGCCACTGCACCTGTTCTCTCCTTCTAAAATTCACTTCTATCCTCCCTTTATCCTTCCCCTGAACCTCTTTCCCCCCTGTCACTAGCTTTTATGTATGTGTATATGTTGTACGCTGATTGGCTGGTAGGCGCGTGGCCGGAGCTCAGTTGGGAGTTGTTGGGGAGAGGAGCCACTACAACATCACTTGACAGGCTAGACTTAAGAGAGAAGAGATTGTACTACATATTTTAAATAATTAATACGAATTCCTTCGCCAAATAAGATGGGATGTACGCAGTATTCAACTAGAAATTCCAAATGGAAGAAGCTTGAAGGGATTGTCATTATTCCGCTCTCCAAAGGATCCTGAAGGTAAGTTGCAGACCTTAGTTATTGTCTATTGTTTTTACGTTTTTATCAGCTCTTTATTACTCTGGTGTTTGTGGTATTTATATTGAATCTCTTCAGAATTTTCAGTTAAGATCAGAGACAGCATGACACAAAAAGACCAAACACCTGTACTGGAAATTCTTTTAAAGATTAGGCTACGCTTTGGCCTTATAACACTATTAGATATGAGAGTGTATTTTACAAGGTTTGCCTATTAGGCTTCGTACTTTTGTAATTCTCGAATTTGTCTTAGGCTGGTGGTAGTAATTATATTTGTTTGTACCCCAAGAGTCGCTACCACTACTATTGCAGAAGGTAGAGAGGTCCTCCTCCTACAGCAGCCCGCCTCCCCACTCACCTCTGTCTCCATTGCAGATCCAATATGAAGCTTCAGTTAACATGATTTGCTTACTTGTAAATTTGGCAGATATAAATAATCAATTTAGATGAATTGAAAAGTCATTTATTTAAATGAAGTAATTATTTTCACAAAAGTGATCGACGGAGCAATTATGATAATTCTAATTAAATTGCATACAAGTGTTGCGCTGTCAGCTTGGATTTAAATATTGTTATTATTTGAGCTTGTCCATTCATGCCAACGAAACTCTGTCAGGCTATGAAATATTAATCCTAGAATAATATAATTAGCATGTAAATAGTCTACAAAGCGCATACAGTATAAATTATTAGTAAGGGAAATGGGATCTCTTTACATAATGTCAGGTAAAGCGCAATGGCCTAGTCGTCCTGTAGTACAGAATCCAAACCGTGTCCTTCAACACACACACACATTCTGTCAATAAACACTGCTATTATTATTATTATTATTATTATTATTATTATTATACACAAACAAATAGATATACAAACCCCGTTTTTATTATCCACGTTGGAGCGCGTGTTTGTGAATACAAGTGATGGATCAGCGATAAATACAATGTCATTTAATACTACACCCACCCTCCCCCCTCTCTCTCTCTCGTAGCCGTTCCAGCAACATGGGCGGTGTAATGGGCGTGAGGGAGGATATAATACTGGTAGGGGTGCGGGCGTCACACATCACGAACTCTCCCTCCCTCAACCCACACCCAAATACTGTACACCTCGCCCACTACGCCCACACCTCCTCCTCCCTCTCCCCCTTCCTTGTACACACACACACACACCCAACAAACGTTACCTCGGGTTAAAAATTCTCTTTCTTGATTCTGTAGTTTTTTTCTCTTTCCTCTGTTCCCCTTTTAATTTTTTGCAATTTCTTCTGACTTGTGTTTTACAAGCAAAAGATTCTCAATGTTTGAAAGGCGCATTTTTTGTCTACTCTATATTTTTTCAATAAAGTTTGGGTTAAGAAATCTTCCTTCTCTGTTTCATTTCCACTATTCCTTCTTCCCATTCGTTATATTGGTCTCCATAATTCCAAAAGATTTTTCACATTCCTCAATGTCAAGATTACCGTCTTGTATTCTCTCCCCGAAGAAAAGTTTATCAATAATACCAATGATTCCCACCCGGTCAGTTTTTGGCGGGAGAGCAGGTGATTGGATGGCGGCTCGTCCAATAGGCGGGTGGGAGAGAGGCGGTGGGGGTTAATGGTGAATGCAGGAAAGTTGGTGGTGGAGGAGTTGGTGGTTCAGTGTGGCAGGAGATACAGTATGTGGCGGTTGTGGTGGGCTCGTGTAGCAAAACGTGACCCACTGGAGTGAAATAAGGTGTTCTAACCCCTTTATCTTGATTTTTTTTAGTGGAGCCGAGTTCTATTACCTCATAGTGGCGATATATATAAAAGCGGTGTTTTTTTTTTAATTACAGTAGCGGTGTCGTCCTGCTCTCTCCATATATTCAACAAGTGAGTTAACATGTATTTTTTTTTTCTGATTTTGTCAATGATGAATATTTTAATATTTATGAATCTATGCTTTTGTTTATATAATATTATTGTACACCTCTACCATGTGTTGTTGAATGACAGTTACGTTGTTAAATGGTTTTATTTTAATATTGCAAAGTTAATTACTTGTTAATTATGAATGTGTTATTCTTGACGTGAATTAATAATAGACTAACTAGGTGTTAATTATAGTTATATTATTGTTGTATATTTAAAATTATACCATAAACAACAGTGTGTTCAGTATACATTGATTATTATTGACTTTCAATTATACTTTCTGACATTAACAAGCACTTACTATTAATAGAAGTAATGAGATAGAAGCAAGAAGATAATACTGAACTGGATAATGAGTTCATAAAGCTCGAGTGAATGACAGTTAAGGCACATTACCCCGAGTGAATGACAGTTAAGGCACATTACCCCGAGTGTTGATGAGGGGAGGCGGTATACGAGATAACCTTCCCTGGGGGGGGGGGGGGTAATCTCAAGCCCTCGTACGGTAAATATTTCTGCTAACTGAAGATGTATTACTGTACCTAAATCCTTAAGGTAAAAACCCCCAAATTAACCTTACAAATTACGATTGAGATTCTACCTTAATTGCTATGTGAATGTTTTTAGTTTATGATAGAGCCTCGGTAATTTTGATCAGTTGTGAGGAAGATACGAGTTAGTTATTCGCTCTAGAACTGTTTTTTTTTTAATTTCCTGGTACAGTACAGTACTATTACAGGATAAGACCTTCATTAAGACTTATGTTCATCTGTGTGTATTTACCTGCATGGGAAGGTGTTTGTGTAATAGGTATGGTTGTGTTTGTGTATGTATCTGTGTATGTGGATGTTAATTTGTGTGCGTGTCTGCCTGTGTATATCTTATGTGTATTGTATAGGTATTTACCACCAGTATATAACGTGTTTGCGTGTGTGACTGTATGTAAATGTGATTGCCAATTATTATATGTATGTATATATGTCCGGTAATATAGCCCCATCAGCTTGGTGTGTGTGTGTGTGTGTGTGTGTGTGTGTGTGTGTGTGTGTGTGTGAGAAGGTCGTTTATTGTATGTACAGGCTGTATCATCCTCGACCCTCTAGCTAAAACTGATGGCTGACAGGATCTGCTTCTATAACACCTGTTAGGTTTACCTGTAGGAATATAAACTGTGACACGACCTATTTTCACTTACCGGGGTTAACCTGACGTGAAATAACTACTATAACGGAAAATTAACCTTACCAAACTCAACCTTAACTATAGTAATTTAACCGGACGGAACTTAATCTTAGGTTAACCTGACGTAAGATAAAATTTTACTTGAGGGAAATTATCCTAACTTAATTTAAAATAAACTAACAGCCTATTCTAACCTAACCTAACCTAATCCAACCCAACCCAACCAACCTAACCTCATCCAAACTAACAACCAATAATCACTAGGTTTGGTTGCCACTTAAACCAGCAACCATTACGAATTAATTTCCAATCCTACTAGTAAGATTCGCTAATCCATGGTGGGTCGGCAACACCCTCACGCTGACGTTACAATGTTATTACCACTCTTCAATAACTGAGGTCTTTAAAGCACATAGCAAGATAAGTAATTACACTAGTCGACTACGTTCTGACTAATCTCTTGATGATTAGTCTTGTATATTAATGAGTTTCCTGTTTTATATACATACAGGTAGATAGATAGATAAGTCCGAATAAAAAATAAACAGGAGATTGCAAGGAGTACACGTAGAGTATTGGAAAGACAATGCTTTTCAAAATAACATACTGCTCTCTCAGAAAATATTGACCCCAGTGATATGTTTGTGTACACTCTTGGAATATTTTGTATACTCGCTGCTGGTGGTGGTGTGGCTTGCCGTCTTTATTAGTGGTACAGATTAATTATTAATAGAGAATGGTGTGTGAGTTTTTGATAAAGAACATCTCGTTATAACAATAAGAATAAAGATACTACTAATAATAATAGAAATAATGTTAATAGTAATAATATTAATATAAATAATAATATACCACTATAATAATATTAAAGAGAAAGAGTAAGTTTACTTTAATAAAATCAGTATAATTAAGATCGAGAAATAGTAATAATAATAATAACACACACACACACACACATCACACACATCACACACACACACACACACACACACACACACACACACACACACAACACATCACAACACACACATCACACACACACACACACACACACACACACACACACACACACATCACAACACACACACACACACACATCACATCCCAACACACGCACCCTGATTGCCTCTCACACACCCTGTGCTTGGGAGGCAGGCAAGGGTAACGCTAATAACGGACACAATGTACAGATGTAGGTCAATAAAGATGGAGGGAGGGAGGGAGGGAGGGAGGGAGGGGAAGGAGGGAACACATCTACCTCAATAAAGAAGGAAAAAAATAGAGGATACAAACCTGAACCAATAAAGATGGAATGAGAGGAGGGAGCGTGTTGTGTTGTGTTGTGTTGCGTTGTGTTGTGTTGCGTTGTGTTGTGTTGCGTTGTGTTGCGTTGTGTTGTGTTGTGTTGCGTTGTGTATCTCTCCTTCACAGTCTTACACCTTCCAACGATCATTTTTTTATCGTATTTGTTGGATTTTTTTCTCGATGGTTCATTGAAATTACGATACAATGGATGGATTTTCAAAGGTACTTACGGTATTATTTTTTTTATCGTAACCTGATTTACTTAGACACGAAGATATATTTTCAAAGATACGTCAGTTTTTGTTATATATATATCCAGGCTGGAGATGTTAAATCGTATCTTTTACATTATAACCTACGGCACGAAGATGAATTATGAATTTATCGTAAGTTAATTTCTACGCTCGTAAGTTGTGCCACGACTCATAAAATACCGGTGTAAATATAGACTATAATCCTAATCTACCCTTAAGTAACATGAGCCTTCTTGTAAAGTACGTGATGCCAGACAGTGCTATAAAAAAGGTGTCCAGAGGATTTTGTCCAGGGTATTTTGTCCAGGGGATTTTGTCCAGGGGATTTTGTCCACGATTGTACCTTCATGCAAAGTTTCACGACGATTGGCTCAGGAAGGATAGAATGACGTGTGATTGTTAGAGAGAAAGAGGAATAAGCAAGTAATTATTGGCCAAAAATACGCGACCTTGACACATTAAGATAAAATAGGAGGAAAGATAAAGATGAAAGATGAGAGTAGGAGGGAGTGAGAGTGGAGGAGGGGGAGGGGTATAAGAGGAGGATTGAAGAAGAGGAAGAGAGGAGGATGAGAGGGAGGGAGAAGAATTGAAGGTAAAGATAAATACGAAGGGAAGGAAGAGTAAAGATTGACTATAATAAAGTAGGAAGAGAAAGAGGAGGAAAGATAAGAGCAAGAGTGAGTGAGTGAGAGTGAGGGAGAGAGAGAGAGAGGACCTGGTCTAACACAGCCTCGTAAAATGTAATGACCACCTAACTCTCTTCGGCTCTCCTGTACCTTACTACAGATACCACGCCCACTGCACCCACCCTGTGCCAGCCCCCACCACGCCTACCGCCCACCACACCCACTCTCCATCGCCCACTGCACCTAACCTCTGCCGGCCCCCACCACGCCTACTGTCGCCCTACCATACCCACTGCACCCAACCTCTGCCCCCCCACACCCACCGCCCACCACACCCTCTCCATCGCCCACTGCACCCACCCTCTGCCGGCTCCCATCACGCCCACTGCACACTCCTCTGCCGCTCACCACCCACCCCCAGCCGGCCACCACGCCCACCTTCTGCCGGCCATCACAGCCCACCACACCCACCGCCCACTGCACCCATTCTCTGCTGGCCACCACACCAACCCTCCACTGCTCGTCACACCCACCACCCTACACTCATTGCCCAACGCTCACAATCTCCATCCACATCCACCATCCACACCCACACAATCGTTCTTTCACCCACACCCACCTCACCCAATCCACTCACCCAAACACCACATCCACCCACCCACTCCGGCCCGCTCACTCCCACCCGCCCGCCCGCATCCTCCAACCACCACACCCAATCCACTCACTCAAGCACTACACCCAATCCACTCACTCAAGCACCACACCCAATCCACTCACCACCCCACCCACCTCCATCCCCGCCCACCTCCCACCCGCCCACCGCCTTTAAGTGCAAATTCCCACATATTCCTAAGTTAAATATTCCCCGCCACTGGAGATGTGAGAACGCATCGTCTGTTTCCCGGCCTCACTCCGCCGATTTGCGAGAGTTGCCGAGTTCAACCGATTATTCCAATGCACCCGTGAGTATTTTTGAGCGTGTGTGGAGGGCTAGGAGCATTTCTGAGCATGTTTTGGAATGCTTTGAGTATTTTTGAGCGTGTGTGGACGGTCGTGAGCGTTTTTGAGCGTGTGTGGAAGACTAGGAGCATTTCTGAGCATTTGTGAACATCCGTAAACATTTCTGAGCATATGTAGACGTCTGTGAGCATTTCTGAGTATGTGCGGTCATCTGTGTGTATCTCTGAGCATTTATGAGTTCCTATTAGCTATCCTGCCACGGCTCAGCATTATCCAATCACGTTTCAACACGTCTCAACATGTTATATCTCTACACGTTGGTCCACTATCTTCTGTATCTCATTATTTTTAAGCTCTTCTCTAGACTAAAAGGAGGAGGGGGAGAAGAAGTGGAGGAGGAGGAGGTGGCGGTAAAGAAGGAGAAAGAGGAGGACAAGAAGGAGGTGGTGGTGAAGAATGGGGAAGAGGAGAGGAGGTGGTGGTGGAAGAAAAGAAGGAGGTGGTGATGAAGAAGGAAGAGAGGGAGGAGGTGATGATGAAGAAGGAGCGGGGAGAAGGAGGTGGTGGAAGAGAAGAGAGAAGGAGGAAAAGAAGGAGAGGATGGAGGAAAACTGAGTATGTATTCCAC